ATATACACTATTTTTCCCGGTTTGTCATGCCGACATGACTGATGTCGTGAACAAGCACTTCACAAGTTTAAAAGGCTGTACAGTGTACAGTACATAATACTATTTTAGAGAAGTGTCACAAATTTTGACATATGCATGGCGCCTACGGCCGTAGCAGTGAGGGATTTTTATAGTGCCAATGCCTACCGTGACACAGGACCTCGATTTATAGGGTTTCATCCGAAAGATCCTTGACTTTCACTTCTAGTGCCGGGCGCTTCGCAAAGCTACAGTCACTACCTATGATAAATGTTTGTAGGTTTGACGCGGCGCCAAGAACGAGACTTAAACTCGGGACCTCTCGATCACAAAGCGAACGCTATACCACTACCACGACCGGTATGAACTTAGTGGCATAGATTATTAAGTCAGTATATTCCTTGTACCATGAAAAGCAAAAAAAAAAAAAAAAAAAAAAATAATAATAAAAAAATTAAAAAATAAAAAATAAAAAAATAATGAGCAGTAAAAAGCAACACTCAAATAAAAACAATTTGCTTTCTTTCACCAGACATTTGTTGTGCTAACTGAATGATTCAAGGTCTGTACAATACGTAAGATTTATTTTAATTTTTTTCTTCGGTCTCCGCTGCAAAATATGGAAAAATAAAAGTTTTGATTATATTAATGTCCTCAATATTTTAAATTTATAATACAGATACACAACCACATTTGAATTTCGTAGGTAAGCAAAGTATGTCAAACTGCAATAAAAGATTTCACGTCACTTCAAAGTCCATTCAATGATGTGTACAAACAATTTCCTCAAGAATTTGAATAATTTATTCGAATTGATTAAAAATTAATAATTCTAATTAACAATTCAATAAATATTTCTACCTCCAATATTATATTATTTAATCCAGGGATTCATCTTGGTTTAGCTTTGTCTGTTAGCTTAAAATACAAACGTCACAACAGATTTTGTCAAGGATCAACATTTCAAAAAAAAAAAAAAAAACAAAACAAAAAAACCGACCATTGTGTTCCAAAGTCTTAAATTGGTAAATTGCGTAATTAATATTTATCTCCACTGATTCAACATTGTGAGATTTCATTCATGACATTTAATTTGTGAGTTCCCATGTATGTGCTTTCTAGAATCCAGTAAATATAAATTGATTTTAAATTTCCAAATATCCATAAGAAATGCTATTAACATGAATCTAAATACTAGTAATCTCATCGGAGATATAAAGTTTTTCATAATTAAAGGGTTATTACGGATATAACATCAAATTATTCCTAATTATATTTAAGGATGTCATCTAAATACTAAAACAGGTCGTGTTGATTGGTTCACATCTAGAACATTACAGACAACGTTAGTTTGAACAATATATCTTTACTTAATGATCGACAAAAATCTTGCTAGCTCTTTCTAAAGCAGAATACGGTGTCTTTGCTTTTCAGAAATCCTGTCACCCATCAAATGTCACTGAACCGTTTAACCTTACTATATCTACATTCGTGAATTGATTGCATCAGTCTTCCATGGTAATTTGAAAAACAGTGTGAGCAATATTCCTGTAAACTTTGTCTACTTGGTTTCTACCTCTCTCACTCTCGCTGCACGAAATTATTCTCCATAATTTGATGTAATGTGCATTTTCAAGCTGAAAAAATACATTTATAGAGAATTCTAATAACAAGACAACATTCTCGCTCTCCTTTCTCACTAAAACATGTTATTACATTCTCTGTATCTCTTCTCTCTGAGTCAGTAAAACATGCTATTTTCTGAATAGTAATGTAGCTAACAAAATTAGTCTTCAATTCTCTTTTTTCGTGAAACATATTGAATTTTTCACAACACCTAAAGGTTAACGACATATCCTTGTTCACAGAGGATATTTCAAGGGAAGTTGTTTTTGACAAGATATGGAAAAAGTAACCATGTACTGTGACAAAAAGTCTTTTCAAATAATAAGTCAAAGAAGCTTTACAATTTTTATATTTGGAATGAACATTTATAATATTCCTCATTTTTAGAATAGTACCAGATGTTAATTACCTTTTTGCAGATTTGAGAATTCATTCATTAGCAATGAGTAAAATACTGGCTAAGTCAATGTAAAAAAAAATAATAGAAATTGAACGTTTATTCACTAGCAGAAAGAAAGAAAAAATGCTACTATTTCCAAGTAGTTTTGATGAGTTTTTTTTTTGATATTCAATTGATACTTTATTTGTTTAACCATGTTGGAAAGAATGAGGTGTAAGAGGCGTTGACAATCCCACCTCTAAGGAAATATATTACTCATTTCTTGTTTTTTTTTTATTTTTTAAAAAAGTACTATCAATTATGTCATCATTAGCATATTTGATTCCTCTTTTTCAATGAATCACTTAATGATTAACAATTAGCTTTTAAGTTGATAGTTATGCATATATACTTGGTGGAAAATTGTTCAAACATAACAATAGAACACTGATTTTTCAATATGGATGAGTCAGATCCCAATTATATATAAAGGTTTAAATGACTGGAAAGTGAATAAAAAAATAAATGAGAAAAGAATGAAAAACATATTTTTTGTTTTTTTTTAAAAGGAATCCATTCCAAATGAAATTCGAACTTTTTTGAATCATATGAATTATTGATAGACTGATATTGTTTAACGCCGAATAGACAATATTTCAGCCATATTTCGGCAGAAAAAAATGATATGCTTGAACAAACTCCTTTATTCAAGCCACTATGACAAGGTGATATTTTTATTAAGACAGCGTAGCAAAGTGGTTAAGGCATTTATTTTTAATTATACCCTTGTATTTTCAAAGTTGTTGTTTCTATTTAAATACCCAGCAATTAACGGAGGAATTGTTATAATTCTCATTGGTTCATTTCAATCTGTTATAGAAGTGTATTTGCAGAAAAAACCTTTAATTGCTTCTATTAATAACACTGAGTAAGCTTGATATTTTGAAATTTTCTCTTTACAAATATCGAATGATCGGTGCAGTTCTATTGATCTATTATCATGCAGTTTGTTGCAATTGAATGTACACCTTTATCGACCGTGATGTTCCGAACAATGATGCTTTATTGGCTTGTATTTTATTGATCAATCCAGACTTGGGAGGAGAGAAATGGGATTTTTCATTGTTTCCTAAGGAATTTATGGTAAGACAATTCAGTTTACCTTTAGTTACCGTTACCACTGAAAGCTCAATATTATAGATTTATAGTTATCGATGCTGCAAAAGGGATCATGGGATTTAAGTTTATAGTAGTTTCAGAGATCATGTTTTTTCGCGAATGAAAGTTGGTTTAAAGTATTGTTTGTTTGTTTTCTTTAGTTATATATTGTAACGAAAAATGCCGGGATTAAATATTTGTATTATAATGGTTATTTTTCTGTAGTCTACAGCATTTCGTTATAAATATTATGTGGGCTCTGTACCTTTTATCAGTTGACAAGACAACAAAGTCCTTTATAAATACACAAAAATTTATTGTAGCAAATTAACAACGTATATGAAACGAACAGGTAACTTCCTGGTCAGCAGCTGGCGCGGTAGATCAAAGGGATAATACATTCGTCAGGAATATAAGGTGTAGAATAAATATAAAAACACTCTAATTAGATCTAGGTTATAGGAAAATATTCTTTAATTGGTTTCTGGTGAAGGTGCAAGTGTATGCACCTCGTATATAATAAATTGGGGGAAGGTGCATATGTCCGAGAAGGTGCGGATGTACCGTAACTAATGTAAACAATAACAAGGAAGGGGCGGATCAACCTCCTACAATACAAGGGAAATGGTCGGTACTGGAGAAGGTGCGGAGTCCAATATATACACCTTTATAATTTAATAAATAATCACCTTCTGCACCTTCGCTGGGTCGTGCAGTAATTGCTTCTGGGACATGCTGCTGAATACGGAACTAGGGAACTGTCAAAATGTACCTTCGCAGCGCCCCTCTGTTTATAAACACTACGCTGGCCAATCAGAGACCGGCTTACTAAAGAGGTAGCACGCGGTAGACTCAACCCGAAGTATGGAGGGAAAAGGAAACACACATAGTTCCTTACACAAATTAAAGGCAAAATAACACCAAAAATCCATATTAGAAGCAAAGATAAGCATATTTATATGCTGTCATGTGTTTTTATTAACATGGCTGGTTGCAAACGGTGGAGACGACCTCCAGATTGAATGTAAACAAACTACATCCGGTGTTTGCATCTACCAACACGTGGTGAAGTTGTTGTATTACAACTTTTTGTAAATAATATTCTAAATGGAATAACAAATAGCTAGATATCACGACAGTTTTACATGTCGTAACGATTATCTAATGATAACATGGTAAAATGGATCTAGGTTAGGTTTAATCCGAAATTTCTCTGGTATCAGGTACAGGTCCACATATATATTTCATAACAAAATTACATAACAAATTTGAACAAATCTGATAACTCTTTGAACTTTTGAGAAGAAAGTAAATTCATAAGTTTTTAGACATCTGAATTAACATAACAATATACATATATATATATATATATATATATATATATATATATATATATATATATATATATATATATATATATAATTAAAATGAAAACACGAAGAAATTAACACAGTAAAGCATTAGCGCTTTCATTTACAATCTTCAGATGCTTTACAAACAAGTTTACTAACTGTCACATAGTAACGTCTATTATGACGTCATAATCAGCGGAACGTAATAAAGTCACTATGATGTTATTCTCCCAGGAGTTATTACGGGAAAATCAAACAATGCTATTAAGCTTTGGTTTTAAAGTAGTTATAAAGTGTTTCTCTTTTCTTTTCCTGTGGATGTGGTTTCCAAACAGCATCTTATAAAAGGGAAAAACCGCATACATCTAAATGTTCACTTAATTCACGCTTCCACGTCGTCACGGGTGACGCAGTTGCCATCTCCGCACAGCCAATCAGAATCGCGGAAACTTTGTCCGCCATTACCTCCGACAAAACACACAGATGTCGGAGGTGCGAGATGACATCGTTTAATGCAACATATCCGCTGTGTAACGAAAAATTGTGAGGTCCTATGCATGGGATAGATGTAATAATGATACGAGGTACCCGGAAAGAATACACAAGGTGAGATTTATTCATTTCCTAAGTCTAAAAGACGGAAAAGCAAGTGTTTACGTTGCATAAACAGCTGATAAAGGCATGTCATGCGGAAGACCGAAACACAACTGTCTGTTAAAAATTAAGATATTCGGGTATATTAATGTAAAAGTTAGTGATAATATAATTGTCAATTAAAGAGAGCAATGTTTAGATTATGTTCTATGACGTACAATAGTGATTTACAAACGTGCTCAGACAGTGACTCAACCGTTCAAAGCTCTAAGTCTCGGTGAACTGAGTATAATTCTCGATATTAAATGAGATTGCTGCAAAACATTTTTGTGGGTAATTTTACAATGCTTTATTTTTGAAACATTTTGTGATCGTATATAGCTTTAGGAATCTAAATTTATTGTAGCTTTTATGGGCCATGAAATACTGACTGTATACAGCAAGGTCCAGTTCCCCCAGATGGGTCACAGTCATCAAGAAAGGCTTCTTTGGAATTATCGAGAAGAGTTGTAAGCTTACTGATATTATGTTGAGAAAAGTATCTGTTATGAAGAAACTTAATTACAAAGCCAGTATGTTTTTATTCAAGTGAAGATATCATTATACCATGAAAACTTGACATAGTAAAATCACAGATGAATAGTCATTTCTGTACTATTATCAATTGATATTTAGTCTTGGTGAAAATGCTGAGGATAGTTAACTACAAATTTGTTTATGAGATCAAGATTTTAAAAGCATTTAAAAAATTCCAAGTCAAATGCATTACATGTATTTATATTTTAATAAAATATTACATGCATTCAGGATCAATGATGGAGCACACAGGGAAACAGAAAAGAATCTTCACCCGTGTGTCATAACAGAATGTGAAAATGAATTGTCAACAGGCTACATGTATGTATATACAATAGGAACATCGCCATACCCTAGTTTTCCAGTTAGTTATGTAATGTACACATGATTATGGAGAAAGGGAACTGCAAAAGAAAAGTAACTGTTTCCACAATGCATCAAAATCTCTTAAGCCACTTATTCTTGACATCAATGTTTTTATGCAGTTAAATACCAAGTAAATCAATACTTCAAGTAATATTTGAAGGATATCAATACTTCTAAAATCTCTTTCTAATTTAATCAGAAAGCACATTTTAGATATTGTTATATTTTACTTTATTTTTGTTATACTCATAGATCTTTAGAATTTTATTTTTCATTTTAAGGAATCTTTGGATTAATTTCCCCATGTTGTAGAACTACAACAAAAACAGAGAGAACCTACAGAACAGACTAAGTAATCGTCTACAACTCCACATAGCAGCATGAGAAAAACAAGGCCCACTTGCCATGAAGAAAACAGTAAAAATATATATATACTAGATGAAATCCCGCGCAAGCGCGGGTAATTGAATTTATACCACTACCGACAGAAAATATATTGTAGTTTCTACTGACAGCGTACAGGCTTATAGCAGGAAGAAATACTTTGTTCAAAATCCCGCATGTGCGTCTCCAACCACCCCCGCCCCCTTTTGTAAAAACTTGAAAAAGTAAAAATTTCATTAATTGATATTTATTGTGAAACCTGTTATACTATGTTATGGATATTGTATTTCATATGCTCTTATTTTATTTCCGTCAAGGATCAAAGCAACGAATATGTACATTTTACTGATAGTTTTTTTTTTTTGGGGGGGGGGGGTTTAAAATTCACAGGTATTCGGGTCTTGGTTTATAAATATGTATGTACCTTTTTGATATATATTGTAAATATTGTAAAAAATGTACTTTATCTTTTTTACATATCAATACGGTACATACATATCTATAAACCAAGACGCAAGTACCTGTGTAAAAATTAGCTTTTAACGCCCTATGAATAGGCCGAGTATTTGATACAAAAGACTGTATACAGAAAAAAAAAACTGAAATGTATCGATTAAAGCACAAAATTTTACAGCTTTAATTGTATTTGAGCAATATCTTATTCATAAATTTCTCTTTTCATGTAAGCAATTTTATTACGAAGTAGAAATTGTACTTCGGGTTCGTTGCCACGATGCTCTCACAGTGAGGAATATATTACACATTTTACCAATAAATTTATTAGGAAAACCTACTACATATATGGAATAGTCTTTCGATATATAAATATATTCACAACTTATAGTGTTATCAATGATTTACCATTATTTCAATGACCATTCACACAATGACATCAGCTTTTTTATGTTCCTGCAGCTATAATCGTCTCGTTTTTCTTTTTAACATCGGGCTCGATGCTATATGATGTTCTAGAAGCTTCCGTCAATATTAAGATCGGTGAATGACAAAAATAATTTGTACACTTCCCTTTATAATCGGTTATCACAACTTACTTCTTTTATGTCATTTAAATCAAGTTTTGATTGAATAATTCAGTGATGACGTTTTATGAAATAAGTAAACGACTGATTGTTGTCAGTTTCATTGAAAATTGCCAGAAACTTAGATCCGCCAACCGGAAACGCCACCGTACTCATGTTTTTGCTATTTCATGGCTTTTTATAGAAAATAAAAGTAGACTTTTAATTTAATGTACGAAACTTACAATGCCAGTAAAATCTAAATATAGTTTACGGACATCATATTGCATCTAGTGTATTCTTAGAGGAGTAAGTAAAAACTCTGGTGCATCGGTTTCGGAGTTTATTTGCAAAATTTATTAATTTATAAGTATAGATATGTCAGTGATGTGTGTATTATTTATACCAACATGAAACATTATTGAAAATTTATTAGATTTTTTGACATCAAAACAATTCAACTGTATGTAGAAAAAAAGGGGCATACTAATGACAAAAGAATTGTCTCGGTCACTTTAGGTATTTTTTGTGTAAATAGTCCATAATTGTATATCAACACTGATGAGGCTAAGGCACAATTTTGGAATAAAGGTGTAGCATCAATGTTTGGTGTGTCAGTGATTGACTATGTGCATGTGTTGACCTTATGCATGTTATTTTAGGTTTAAAGATGGGTGATTGACTTTCATTGACTTCACTAATTTCAGGAGAACCAGACTTTTCACTTATCTAATGAACTCCATTAGCATAATACATGTTTGTTTATGAAATCTTATGGTATCCACAATGTGCTGAATAGCATGAACAAATGTATAGTTCAGAAAGGTGATGAATAACACGAATAACATGAAATGTGTAGCACTGTCATACATGTAGATGTAGATGAAATTCCCAAAAATATATGTCATACTGATATAAGTAAATGATTTATACAGTGATGTGATCATACAATGAGAAACAACTGATACAAATTAAATATTCAAGTATCTAACCCTATAAATCATAAATGTATATCACTGCCTAGGGAAATTTGATAGAGGAAAAGTAATACTTTTTGAATTTGACATAAACGATTTTATTATTACTTATATATGAAATGTACAATATCATTAAACTTTCTGTATACCCGTACCTTGTCTTTATTTTCTTTTGAACATCTTGGATCTTTTTATGGGTATCTTTGGATTGACATCTACAATATAAATACAGAATTGATTTTTGATTCCTCTTGGAATATGCAATGCTGAGGAAGACTTATGTTTGTTCTTCAAACCTAGCAATCTGAACTGTTGAATGCAATTTATTTGTACAACAATATGTGAACATTTTCCTCATCCCCTTAAGTTTGTGTGTCACTAGTGAAGTACACTGACTGTTTTGATCATTAAACAGTCTTTTACATTGTAATTTCTACTTATGATACCCTAGAACCATTAAGGATTTCTGAAATATATATCAAAGTCCATGCCTAGAACCATAAACTGAGAACAGAACTGGGGTCTGCATTGGATTTAGAATGAATATCTTTATGTTTATTTTAAACATGACTAAAATCTTGAAAATTTATTTTGTACTAATGTACAAACACAGGAAGATTTTTTCCTTCAAATTTATGTGAAATAATATCTGAATTTCTAACTCAAGTTTGTATCCCATTTATAGTTTTAAGGACCCTTTATAAACTTAAGCAGAATATTTTTTTAGACATTGAGAAAAATTGTATGAAGGTGTAAATTTTGAGCATACCTAATGCATTTTCAACAAGGGTGCCTTGCATTTACCCCCAGGAAAAATGGTTAATAAATGATAATATTGACAAACAAAAAATTCTATTGTTCACTTCATAACATTTGAGAAAAATACATCCAGTTGAAAAAACATGAAGTATTCAATTAATTTATCTTAGCCTATTAAAATATTAAGAAATTTATTACAAATTGTAGTTTTCAAATTCTTTTATCTTTAGATCTAGGGACAGGATGTTCTAATTGCATAAAAATACCACAGAATCAGAACTCTTCAGTGTGCTGTGCAGAGAGGACAAAAAAAATGAAAGAAATAAAAATATAATAATAAACTATAATCAGTTTGTCCAAATCAAAACGATTGGGGAATCTGGGAGAGAGGGGTGGTGATGAATGAGTTGCTACAATATTTCAAAATTCTTTGACAAAAAAATTATATCAACAGGGGGATGTGGTCCAAATATATGACAGTTCTGAAAATTTCAAGGGGTAGGAGAGTCCTGAATCCCTTCCGGATCAGCGCTAGCATTAGCAACCTTTCAAAACCGATGAACACATATACACTGCATATCACTTTCCTTATTAGATTTAGTCGGTGACGATGAAGATACATGGAATATATTGGGGGGGGGGGATCTCTCGGCGGCTGGGGTTTTAATGCTAACTAAACAACAAACAAATATTGTCAATTTTATTGTTAACATTGAAAATTAAAAACGTTCCCTGATCTACTATGCAGTACGTATCAGAACAGTAAATATTTCGGAGACAGTTGAACTGACCTTAAAGTCGGATGCAGTGCTGATCTAGATCGGTAAAGGTTAAAATTATACTTCTACTTACTAAAATTTTGTGATTGAAATCTCTCTGAAACATATCTTACATTTTGACAAACGTTTCTGTATAAATTCGTGAGCAAACAAGCCGATTGAAAAGTTTTTCTGTGCGATTTCTGTAACTCGCATCCATGTTGTTTACGTTAGTTTGTCGGAGTCTGCAACCACGTGACTTTCGTTGCCATCGGTGGGCGGAGCGTGGATGCGTGAATTGAATTTGTCTATATTCTGGATTATTTATTTGCTGTTTGTGGACTCGTATCCGAGCTCTCAGTGTAGTGCTTGTTTCTCCGAGTAAAATTCCTTACACCAGGACATGTTATAACATAGATTACGTTCTTTGTTTCGCAAGACATATCTGCATTGGAACCATAAATTTGCTATTTCCCTCATACCCATTCCATAACTGTATAATATAATTATTGCTGTTTTTGAGGTCAATACGATGATTTAGCCACCTGAGGAGTACAATATTCACCGAGTCCGAAGGGCTCATCGTATTGACTGAAAAAACAGCAATAATTGTTTTTTTTTTTTTATGATTCAATGATTAAATGATGCAAACTCATTAAGCAGTTCATCCCATCTTACTTGTTTACATATGCTGAAGTCCTAGTTAAACGCAATGAGAGAAGCAGGGTTAAATGAACATTACCAGTCGTATTAATTTGGCATTTTTTAAAATCTACGTTAGTTGCTATGAAAAAAAAAATAATGTCAGGCTCTTTGATAGGATCGATTTTGAAAGGGGGCATTATCAGAAAAAAATAACAGTTGGAAACAAAATCTTTGACTAGCCCCACTAAAAGAGAATTCTTTTAAAACTTCATATTTTGTTTTGGGGTTGGGGATTGAGGTCCATTAAAGGGGGATGGGTAGCCTTTCAATGAATATTTTCAGTCCAAATTAAAAGTAAAAATTTACGTTAAGAAAATTTTTTTTTTTGGGGGGGGGGGGGGTCCCATGCACCCCCCAACAACCACCCCGTCCCCAAATTATATATTTTTCCTAACATTATGCTCACCTAAGTGAAAATCGGTAGCAAGTGAAATAGTTTTCCGAAACTATTTGTATCAATTTGGAATTTCTCAATCTAGTTTTAGAGCAATGTAGAGAAAATAAATCCTTATAAACACCTGGAAGGTCACGTGCAGGTGAATATAAAAATTTATTTTCACTACATTATTGGATCTCAGCTAATCAGCGAGATTTGAATTATCCAATCATATAATATAATATAATATAATATAATATAATATAATATAATATAATATAATATAATATATATATATATATAACTGCGCTTAGTGCTTAGTGAAGAAATATTACCATAAAAATCACAGAGAAATTCAATTTATAAGGATACTAACTTCCGCCCTAACCCGGGGTTGAACTCTCGACCTAGCTAGACCGCTCGGCCATCTAGGC